TTTTTTTCTTCTCAGTTTTATCACTAATTATGTGTATTTAAGCTTATAAATTAATGAAATAACGTGTTATCATATGTTTATGTCATTTACTATGAAACAACAATGTTCACTACATAAATGTACACATAGCCATAGATACATAGATACATACATACATACATACATAGATACACATAAACGTACATATGAACAACACAATAATAAACATGGTGACTTTAATTAAATAGGCGCTTTTTAAAAGAAAACTTAGACTTCAAAGAACATTCATATTATATCAGATAGATATTTTTTTATTATTAGAACAGCACAATTCTTTTGTTTATGATTAGCTACTCAAGGTCATGGATTTCAACATTCAATCATTTACCTAACTACAAATCAATAATTAACTGGATATGTTTTTATAATATCTTGTTACTAAGTTAAAGGGATTGTATATCATTGAATATATATGTAATACAATGAATGTAATCATTTATCATTATAAATTTGATAAGTAGTCAATAATTGAGATTATGAACCGATTGATGTTATACAATCATAGAAAACCTGAAATCAATGGACGGTCGTTTCGTCCTATTGTGGGACTCTTTAGCGGTGCGCATTCACGATCCCGTCTGGGGCGGGATTCGGATTCAAGACTTATTCGGTTTCTCGCGTGAGAACGCTCAAACCACTACACCACTGAACTGGTCGGCATTCAATGGTGTTATTGTTTAACTTTAACCAATCCACGAAATTGCGCGACCATCATCTTTCATTGTACTGAGGTAGATACTTGTCTCTACCTAACACAGATTAGCTCCACTAGTCACGGCTACAAGCCTATACTGATAAGTAGTCAATGACTGAGTTATTTTGAGAATATAAGAAAAAAAGTGAATAAAAAATCATAAAATGTATAGTCTAGAGATTTATATAAACAAAGTGATATTAAAAGGAAAAAGAAAGCAATAAGGAAAAGAATGATAGTGAATTGCTTATCCCATATTACAACTAGAGGAAAATATTCTGTGTACCTATGTGTGATAGTTTGCATAAAGACCTCTTAAAATTGTCTAGCAATAGGATTACGGTCACATCAATTGATACAGATTGCTCATAGTTGTAAGGAGAAGAAGTAAGGACCCATCTAAGAACTAACGTCTCAGTGACCAGTTCTGTGGAGACTGTCGTAAACCTCTGGTAGTATCATCGCTTTAATGTAACCTGGAATAGAACTTGACAAGATGACACTACGATTTTCTGTAGATATATGGTAAAGTATCTGATTTATAAATACTGATTCTCGTGTGATTTGTTCCTCATTCCCATAAACTGTTTCATTTGTATGTCTTGTTACTCTCTTCAAGAGATATGAATTTTTCTTCTATAAAAACAATTGTAACAATATCATAAATTTCAAGATAGAACCATAATTTCCTTTTGCAAATTAAGAGGGATAGTTCATAGGTGAACATGCTTATCTATTGATCAATACGAAGCATCGCGTAGACTTCGTGGACTGGTTGAGGTTAGACATTAACACCGTTGGATGCCGGCCGGCTCAGTCGTCGAGTAGGTTAAGGTCCTGGATTCGGATCCCGCGAGCGTGATCGTGAATGCGCACTGTTGAGGAGTCCCATACTAGGACGAAACGGCCGTCCAGTGCTTCCAGCTTTTCAATGATGGTCTAACATCAATTGGTTCATAATCACAATCAAAACCTTGACAATCTCCACAACACCTAAATTGATAATTCTAGAAATCTGTTTAAGTATTTAGGGTTCCTACCGAGATGTGAGTAAACAAATTTGCTTGATTTTATAGGAGTTTAAGATTTGTAGTCTGACAACTATTTGTGAGACCACTTTCCATTGTCACTTTCTTCTAAGTTATTAACTTAACGATTGAGAAAGCTGTAATTTATATCAAGATTTGAATCAGATTACAGATGATCGATTCAACAACATGATACATTTATTTTTATTATTATTATTACTACAGTAAAACATTGTAGTTTAGTTTATTTTAATAAGTATGAACTAGTAACTAAGTAAGATCTATCAATGTGGTCATATATCATAGATGGAAGATCAAATTCTTTCCGATCAGTTTCTCTCTATAGAGTTCTAAGGATTGACTTCATTAATCATTTTAAATGCCGGAATAATTCGGTTACATTCTATACTTAACAGAAGCCTACTTTAGAAATTATATCGTATCATAGTATTCATGAGAAACATTTTACACCTAAAATAATCCATCTTAACTGTTTATTTGCAAAAATGGATAGTGGTTAGTAGTAGAATTCAGGATACAAGTTTGATCCTATTTGGGACTCTGGGTTCGAGTCCCGGAGTGAACATCAACTCTGAGATACAGATACATCCAGCTGACGAGTCCTAAATAGGAAGAAACGCGCATTAAACTGCATTCCATTGCTAGCCACTATCCATATTTGCTTATAAAACTTAGGACTTAAGGTAATATCGACGCAATCCGTACAGGATACACATATGCCAATAACAGACGGATCACTTTCAGTCCTAAACAACAATGAAAGGATTAAAGCAAACAATTATTTATTTATTTATTTATTTTAACACATAAATATCGGTACAAGAAGGCACCAAATACATATGCGCCACACAGATCTCATTTGATATGTGTGAGGGCTGTGATAATGCCCGGGTGCCCAAACCGAACCACGTGGTTTTCTTAGGGGGCCACACCCCGAGCCTTTGACCTGAAGATCTGATCCACAAGGCAGTGGAGCATCGTGAGGAGATGCAGTCCCATGGTAGCCGGTGACCAACGATTGGTTCATAGGCCATTTGTTCCCTCAGGATACTGGAGCCCATGTGCACCATTGGTTTGGGATCCGGTTATAGCGCCGGGCATTCGCTTTTCGTCCTCTCATTTTTGTAAACAACACCCCCGCCACGAGAAGTCAGTGAGTAGGACTTCCCTGGCAGGGGCTGTATACGCGTGGCCATATGAGAGCATTTCGAGAGGGGGAGCGGACTCCCCCCACTCTCGGCCGTACCAGGGCATTTGGGGGCAAAGCAAACAATACTAGATGAATTAAATGTCTATATGTTGTAATATTAACGATTTATGGTTAACTATATAAAGTCAATAATGAGTATAACAAATTGTTATGATTTGATAACAATTAAGATATTCTTCTAATAAGAGATGGAATCTAAGCAAATTAGATTAATCAAATGATACATGTACAATGTTTCAATGTTAATAATTCAGAATCGAATAAGAGAATGAAAATAAGGGGTTGATGAGTGCTTTAGTATAGTAAAACAGTTTTGTCTATATCATAACAAGTACATAAATAGAAGCGTTTATTCATATTTAAAATGTTAACTCGGGATTCTGTCAACATTCACGTGCAATCATGCAAATTGAACGTTATATTCGGTTCATAACCTATTCTCGTAACCCTTAAGCTAGAACTATACAGCGACTTGAACACGAGAGGAAAGGCGAAAATTATGCAAGAAGTACATTACTCTAAATGTTCATTTTAATACAAAAAATATAGGGTTTTTATAATATTTTTAAATGTCCTTGGGTTGCTCAAAGATTCTGGAATGCTACTAAACATAGCAGCAGTATAGTAATCAGCCAATCAGAAACTCTACATGTGACTTTTCACTTTCTTGATGTTTCTGGCTAAACTTCAAGTGAACGCTGATTGAATAAAATGCTTCTTAGGATTTTCCTGGATCACCCCAACAGTTATAATAGCATTTTTGTTGTTTTTTTTTTAAAAAAGAAAATGATCTCTCTGATTGCATGGTATCCGATGTTAGTGCAAGACAAGATACAATATGCCCATTTTTGATCTAAAACTTATTATCACATCAACTAATGTATTCATCTTGATCCCCTTAGTAATTGTATGGAGAAACTTATAAATACAAAAAAAAAGAAACAGAAATAAATCTCCTTTTATATTTAATCACTAACCGAGCCCCCAAATGCCCTGGTACGGCCGAGAGTGGGTAGAGCTCACTCTCCTTCTCCAAATGCTCTCACATGGCCATGCATATATAGCATCTGCCAGGGAAGTCCTACTCACTGCCTTCTCATGGCGGGGGTGTTGTTTAAGAAATTGAGAGGAGGAAAAGCAGATGTTCGACGCCTTAACCGAGTTGGTGGACATGGTGAGTCCACCCAGGGGAGTTAGAAAACCCTAACTCTAAACCATTCGTTCACATGAGCTCCAGTATCCTGAGGGAACAAATGGCGTATGAACCAATTATTGGTCACCGGCTACCACGTGGTTTGGTTTGGGCACCCGTTCGTTCGTGTGTTCGGTCACAGAGACGATAATGAAATTGGTGTCACCATCTTGAAACACCGACTTCGGTGGCTTGGACATGTTCTACGAATGTCGTCCCAGAGAATTCCACGTCGTGCATTATTTGCCGACTCTGGGACTGGTTTGGAAAAAGCGGGAGAGTGGTCAGTATATGACATGGTGTCGTGGTTGAAAGAAAGCTGCAAAGGGCTAGCTTCTGTTGGTCCTTCACGACTCCTGGCTGGGGTCCGAGAGACGGTGTAACGCAGTGGCTA